CCTCTTGAAGAAGAAATGCAGGCTCTCAATGTTAATGCTCAAGGGAGGGGCAGAGGTTCCTTTAGAGGCCGAGGCAGGGGAAGAGGAGGAAGAGGTCGTGTTTTTAACAAAGCAACGGTTGAGTGTTACAAGTGCCACAACTTGGGACATTTTCAATACGAATGCCCAAAATGGAACAGTGAGGCACATTATGCAGAGATAGATGAGAAAGAAGAAGTCTTGTTAATGGCTTATGTGGAACTTCATGGAGCACAACGAAGTGATGCTTGGTTCGTAGATTCTGGGTGCTCGAATCACATGTGTGGAGATAAAGGCATATTCTCGGAGCTGGACACAAATTTCACTCACCATGTGAAGCTTGGAAACAATCATAAGTTGAATGTTGCTGGAAAAGGTGTGGTGAAACTTGTGCTTAAGGGAGTAAGCTATGCTATAAGTGATGTGTACTATGTTCCTGAGTTAAGGAACAATCTGCTGAGTGTTGGACAGCTACAAGAGAAAGGGTTGGATGTGTTATTCAAGGGAGGAGAGAAGAAGACGTGTAGTATTTTCCATCCAACAAAAGGAAAGATAGCTGAGTCCATCATGAGTGCAAACAGGATGTATGTGTTAATCGCTGAAACATTTGGGAATGAAGAAGAAAAATGCTTGCAGATTGATGTCTCCGACAAAACAGAGCTGTGGCATCATCGCTATGGTCACCTGAGCTACAAGGGCTTGCTCACTCTACATAACAAGGAGATGGTCGTGGGATTGCCAGAGATTCAACAAGTCAAAGCCACATGTGAAGCTTGTGTGAAAGGAAAACAACATCGGGTACCTTTCCCTAAGCAAAGCGCATGGAGAGCAACTGAGAAGCTGCAACTCATTCATTCAGACTTGTGCGGTCCAATCACTCCTTCATCAAACAGCCAAAAGAGGTACCTAATCAGTTTCATTGATGATTTCTCTAGGAAAACGTGGATCTATTTTGCCTTAGAGAAATCAGAAGCTCTTCATCATTTCAAGTTGTTCAAAGCATTTGTTGAAAAACAAACTGGAATGTTCATCAAATGTCTACGAACGGATAGAGGTGGAGAGTATAATTCTGGAGAATTTAAGGAGTTTTGTGACAAGAATGGAATCAAGAGGCAGTTGACTACTGCATACACTCCTCAACAGAATGGAGTAGCTGAGAGGAAAAATCGAACCATCATGAATATGGTGAGGACAATTCTACGAGAGAAAGAGATACCAAGGTCGTTCTGGCCTGAAGCTGTACAATGGGCAAATCATGTTCTTAATAGGTCACCTACTGTTGCTGTGAAAGACAAAACTCCAGAGGAAGCATGGAGTGACAAGAAGCCATCAGTAGAGCATTTCAAAATCTTTGGATGTGTGGGACACGTTCACGTTTCCGATGTCAAGCGAACCAAACTGGATGATAAAAGTGTGAAATGCGTCTTACTAGGCTACAGCAGTGAATCCAAAGCTTTTAAGATGTATGATCCAATGGAAAAGAGAATTCACATCAGCCGAGATGTGATATTTGAAGAAGAGAAGAAGTGGGCTTGGAAGAAAAATCATTCGGCTGAACAAAATATGGAGCTTGAGTGGGAAAATAAACAAAATGAGGAGATTAATGAAGAAGGTGACGAAAATGATGCAGAAGGTGAAGAGAATGATGCAGAGGATGAAAATGTTGAAGTTGACGCTCAGCCCCAGCCCCAATTTGGAGAAACCAGAGTTCGAAGACCACCGATATGGGCCGCCGATTATACTTCAGGAGAGGAGCTATCAGATGCAGAGGAAGAAATCAATATGGCAAAGATTGACGTTTTAAATGTTGATTTTCTTGCCTTCATGATAATTTCAGATCCCACAACTTTTGAAGAAGCGGTCAAAGATCAAAAGTGGAGAGAGGCGATGAATGCAGAAATGAATTCTATTGAGAAAAATCAGACATGGTCTCTCGTCTCATTACCGGATGGAGCTTAAGCAATTGGAGTTAAGTGGATTTACAAGACTAAATTCAATGAGCTGGGAGAAGTGGATAAGTTTAAAGCGAGGTTAGTTGTGAAAGGATATGCCCAGGAATATGGAGTGGATTACACAGAAGTTTTTGCTCCTGTAGCTCGAATGGATACTGTGAGAATGATCCTTGCTGTAGCTGCACACAGAGGATGGGGAATTTATCAATTAGACGTCAAGTCTGCATTCTTACATGGAGAGTTAGAAGAGGATGTATACGTGGAACAACCCCAAGGCTATGAAGTCTCAGAAAAGAAAGAAATGGTCTACAAGTTGCACAAAGCTCTCTATGGACTAAAACAAGCACCAAGAGCTTGGTTTAGTCGCATCGAATCTTATTTCATCAAGGAAGGTTTCACAAGCAGTCCCAATGAACATACTTTGTTCATCAAGAGAATTGGAGGTAACATTCTGATTGTAAGTGTTTATGTTGATGATTTGCTATTCACTGGGAATAGTGCTGAGTTGCTGGAGGAGTTTAAGCGTTCCATGAAAAGGGAGTTTGACATGACGGATTTAGGGAAAATGAGGTATTTTCTTGGCATAGAGGTGATACAAAAACCAGAGGAAGGAATTTTCATTTGCCAAAGAAAATATGCTGCTGAGGTGATTGAAAGGTTTGGGATGCAACATCACAATCCTTTCTGCAATCCAATTGTTCCAGGTCAAAAGATTGGTCGTGACGTAGCCGGTGAGAAGATTGATGCAACACTGTACAAGCAAATGGTGGGAAGCCTAATGTATCTCACTGCAACACGGCCTGATCTAATGTTTGTGGTATGTTTAATCAGTCGTTTTATGGCATCTCCTACTCAATTACATCTTGCTGTAGCAAAGAGAGTTCTGAGGTATCTTAAGGGAACGTTGGACTGTGGCGTTTGGTACAAGCGTGGAGCAATGAGTGACTTGGTGGCATACATAGACAGTGATTATGCAGGTGACATAGATGATAGCAAGAGCACATCGGGTTATGTGTTTATGATGAGTGGAGGAGCTGTGTCATGGTCTTCACGGAAACAACCAATTGTGACACTTTCCACCACAGAGGTAGAATATGTTGCAGCTGTAGCTTGTGCGTGTCAAGCTATTTGGATGAGAAGGATACTAAAATAGATCAGTCATGTACAAGCTGAAGAAATGGTGGTGCTCTGCGACAACACTTCAACTATCAAGTTATCTAAGAATGCTGTCATGCACGGAAGGTCCAAGCACATACGGGTACGTTACCATTTTCTGAGAGACTTGACAAAGCAAGGAATCATCACACTCGCCTACTGCAACACGGAGATGCAGCTTGCAGACATGATGACAAAACCATTGAAGCTTGTTTCATTTCAGAAGGCAAGAGCAGCATTTGGAATGATCACATTGAGTGAACTGAATCTCTCAGAGACTTAAGTTCAAGGGAGGGTTTGTTGGAGTCTAACTTTAGTTCTCTGTTTTTGTTCTGCTTTGCGTTTCATTTACTTTGGTTTTGCTGTTTACGGAGTCAATGTTCAGTTAGAGTCAAGTGGCTTAAGTTGGGTTAGAGCATGATTAACAATGGTATCTTAAAAATGGTTCTTAGAAGTATTAAAGTTAAGAACTCTTAGTTTTGGGTCTTAGCTAAGCCACTTTTCTTAGTTTTGGGTCTTAGCTAAGCCATATTTCTTACTTAAGAACTCTTTAAGATACCCTTGTTAATGGTGGTCTTATTAGTGGTTGTAGTTGTTTCCTATTTTCTCGTTTGAGTCAGTTCTTTCTTTGTAAGCCACTATAAAAGGCACTTGGAGTTCATTAATGAAGTCAAGGGATTCTCGTGCAAATCTGTTTTACACAAAAGGAAGAAAATGAAAGCCCATGACTTCTCGTAGCTGGGCCTAAGTTTTGGGTTAGCTAAACCGAATGCTTAATCAGATGTTGTCTCCCCAAAAGGTTCAAAGTTATGTTTATGTATATAACGGGTAAACGACCTGTGTCCCCCTGTGAAGTTTCATATAGCACCATAACTACACAAAATTCTAACCTCGATTTTGGTCCACACAAACAGAAAGTTCCAATCCGCTTTAATTTCCCCCTAATTTGAAAGTTCCAGTTCAGTTTCTCCCTAATTTCAAATTTCAAAACTCACAAACACATAATCATGGTTTACAATTGGTTTACTGTTGCCCAAATAACCATTAACCATATAACAATAAAACTAAACCGGATTAAACCAAAAATCAAAATCAAACCGAGAGAAATTCAACACTGTAGGATTCATCGCTCCGTCTCCGATCAGAATTTCAGGTTTGTCGTCGACCTCCGATTTTGATTTTTTTTGGAGTTTCGACTCTCTTAGTTCAGTCCCAAGTTGGAAGTTTACTTTGACTGTTGATCTATTCTATAAGTCAGAATCTTTGATTTAGATCGATCGGACTTGTGTATCCACTCTTGAAGATAATCTCATCAAGGATACTAGAAGAAGTATACAACTTTTGAACGGCTTTAGAAAGATGACAAAGATGACACATACACAAACAAACACATAAAAATTATAACTTTCCAATTTCAAAATCTGATCTTTTTTTGAATTGAATTTTTTGTGAAGATGGGTTCAAAGATGAAACCAACTGTGTTCAACGAAATAGTAGCAACAACATTAATGAGTTGGCATCACACATCAAAGAAACATAATCAAACCTTCATAAACATGGTTCTTCTCTGATTCATCTCCTTAAATGTCCCTCACAAACAAAACAGAAGTATCGATGATAGCTTCGCGATTCGATGTCTCCAAGAAGAAACTCTGATTTCGATTCGTGGGATCCTGAGTCTCAACACGAAACTTCTGAGACTTCGAATTCGAATCATCTTTAACAGCGGAGGAGGAGCAAGTTGTGATTACGATTGATTCTGACCCGATTTTTGTAATTGAACAGGGTTCAAGCTCTAGATTGAGGTCGGAACAGTATTAATGGTGATTAATTGAAATCTCATACGCACTTCCCTAGATCCAATTGCGATTCATCGCCTTGCTAACATCTTCCTCTCCCCAAGAAGAACGCTCGAAACCGGTCCTCTAAAGCTTGGAAATCGCGTCTCTCCTCCTTCTCTGATAACTTCTTCCGATTTTCCGATGTCAAATTTATCCAAAATGACACCAAAGCTCTCTGTCTCTCTGCCGGTACAGGTTTCGCTCCGATGGTCCTTTTTTCAAATCGGATTAGCTGACGTCACCGCCGTTAAAAGAGTAGATCCTCATAACCTTCCGTTTTTGACCGGTTTCACTTTGGCTTGGTATAAGATTTAGTGGTTTGGTATTAGGTTTAGGTCATAAACCGATAAAACCAACATCTATGTGGAACCACGTTTCGATCTTTCAAATTAAGGGGAAACTCGACTGGAACTTCTCGTTTGTGTGGACCGAGATCGAGGTTCGAATTCCGTGTAGTTTTGGTGCTATATGAAACTTCCGAGGGGGACACAGATCGTTTACCCGTATATAACTGATGAAATTAGGTTTTTTTTGTCTTACGTCACTTCTCGTCACAGTCTGACGCCGCAGGACTCATCGGAGTTTCAGGTTCTTCTTCTTCTCTTCCTACACACCATTTTCAAAAATCTTCGATTAGAATCTTTATATTCGTCTCTCTAAATCGTTACCAAAATCCATAAGAATTGAAATCAGAGTTATTTTGATTTCTGATTGATTGTTTATTGAAACGAATTAGGAGGAGAAGAAGAATGTCTCACAGGAAGTTTGAGCATCCAAGACATGGTTCTCTTGGTTTCTTACCAAGAAAGAGAGCTAATCGTCACAGAGGAAAGGGTAAGTCTTTTTTTCTTCAAATTTAGATTCATTGTTATTGAAATGCTTACTTGGGTTTTTATAAAGTTTCTATCTTTTTGAATTTGATAAAGGTTACTTTTTTTTTTTTTGCTTACATGTTATTATTGGTTTATCAGTGAAGGCTTTTCCTAAGGATGATCAAACTAAGCCTTGCAAGTTCACAGCTTTCATGGGTTACAAAGCTGGTATGACTCATATTGTCAGAGATGTTGAGAAACCCGGATCCAGTAAGTGAATTTGTGTTTAATCTGATTTGGTTTTTAGTGATTTTTTGAGTTTTAAAAGTTTTTATTGTTGTGTAGAGCTTCACAAGAAGGAGACATGTGAGGCTGTTACTATCATTGAGACACCAGCTATGGTTGTTGTTGGAGTTGTTGCTTATGTGAAGACTCCGAGAGGTTTGAGGTCTTTGAACACTGTTTGGGCTCAGCATTTGAGTGAGGAGGTTAGGAGAAGGTTCTACAAGAACTGGGCTAAGTCTAAGAAGAAGGCTTTTACCGGGTACGCCAAGCAGTATGAGAGTGACAATGGCAGGAAGGGTATCCAGGCTCAGCTTGAGAAGATGAAGAAATACGGAACTGTTATCCGTGTTTTGGCTCACACTCAGGTAATATAGCTTAGCGAATGTTTTAGAATTTTGTTCGTGATGACAATTCTTTTGTTACCTTTGTCTTTTCAGATCAGGAAGATGAAGGGGTTGACGCAGAAGAAGGCTCACATGATGGAGATCCAGATAAATGGTGGTACCATTGCACAGAAAGTCGACTTTGCCTACAGTTTCTTTGAGAAGCAGATCCCGATTGACGCTGTTTTCCAGAAGGATGAAATGATTGATGTGATTGGTGTGACCAAGGGTAAGGGTTACGAAGGAGTTGTTACCCGTTGGGGTGTGACAAGGCTTCCCCGTAAGACTCACAGGGGTCTACGTAAGGTTGCTTGTATCGGTGCGTGGCATCCAGCTAGAGTGTCCTACACTGTAGCTAGGGCTGGTCAGAACGGTTACCATCACCGTACTGAGCTAAACAAGAAGATTTACAGGTTGGGCAAAGTTGGTACTGAGACTCATTCAGCCATGACTGAATATGACAGGTCAGTAGTATTTACCTTTTATCTGGCTCTCTCGCCTGTTATTGCCACTCGACTGATTTTGATGTTGTGGATTTGATATAGGACTGAGAAGGAAATAACTCCAATGGGAGGATTCGCACATTACGGTATAGTGAAGGATGACTATTTGATGATCAAGGGTTGTTGCATGGGTCCAAAGAAGAGAGTTGTGACTCTGCGCCAGTCGCTGCTCAGGCAGACTTCTCGTCTTGCGATGGAGGTGATTAATATCAAGTTCGTTGATACCTCCTCCAAGCAAGGACATGGTCACTTCCAGACCAGCGAGGAAAAGGCCAAGTTTCTTGGTCGTAATGCAACTGCAAAAAAGGCTTAAAACAAGTTTTCTCTTGTTTTATTAGCTCTTCTTTAGAAAGTCTTGAAAGATGATACTAGTTTTTGAACCATCTGTTGCAATTTTGTGTTTGATGCAAGTTTTACTGAGTTCATCCAAACCAATATAGCATGACTGGTTAGATTTATTAAACACATGAACTTTTTTAGAGAACCAAACCGAAAATAAACAAAATCGAATAGAACTAAAACGAAATTGATTTGAAGCTAAACCAAACTATACTGAACAAAAACACAAACCAAACCGGATAAATTTTGAGTGGAATTTATTAAAACTTTATTAACCGAACCGAGTCCCGTTAAAAAGCTAAAATCTCATTAACCGTACCAAACCGAACCGAAAACTAAATTAACCGAATCAAAGATAAGTCTTTAGAGTGTTGAATATTGCTTCATCTTCGTTACTTGTTTTTGTTCTCTCCCAGTTCCTGGGTTCACGACGAGGATAGTTAATAGTTGCATATGGTTTTATCTCAAAGACGAATCCTTTTACGAAAATCTCACTCTTTGGCAAGTGCCCTTGTTACCAAATCACAGGATTCTATCCCCAAGTCAGTTAAGCATCTTGATTCGAATCTGATTCGTAATGCACACCAGGTGATCGACGAAATTCCGGACTTAAATGTCGTTTCTGCTACAGCGGTGATTGGTCGCTTTGTGAAGGAAAACAGACATGTAGAAGCAAGTCATGCCTTCAAAAGGTTGTTGTTTTTGGGCATAAGGCCAAACGAGTTCACGTTTGGCACGGTCATTGGGTCTTCTACATCTTTGAGAGATGTCAAATTGGGTAAGCAGCTACATTGTTATGCGTTAAAGATTGGACTTGCATCGAATGTGTTTGTGGGTAGTGCGGTTTTGAATTGTTATGTGAAGCTGAGTACGTTGAGAGATGCTCGTAAGAGTTTCGATGATACCAGAGACCCAAACATAGTTTCTATTACCAATTTGATTAGTGGGTACCTTAAGAAACATGAATTTGACGAAGCCCTTTCGTTGTTTAGAGCAATGCCGGAGCGAAGTGTTGTTACTTGGAATGCAGTGATTGGCGGGTTTAGCCAAACGGGGCAGAACGAAGAAGCTGTGAATACGTTTGTGGATATGTTAAGGGAAGGTTTGGTGCTGCCTAACGAATCAACCTTCCCTTGTACTATAACAGCCATATCTAATATAGCTTCTCATGGTGCTGGTAAAAGTATTCACGCTTGCGCAATAAAGTTCTTGGGGAAGCGATTCAATGTCTTTGTTGGGAATTCTCTTATTAGTTTTTACTCAAAATGTGGTAATATGGAAGATAGTCTTCTGGCTTTCAACAAGCTCCAAGAAGAACAACGGAACATTGTATCTTGGAACTCTATGATATGGGGTTATGCGCACAACGGAAGAGGAGAAGAAGCTGTAGCTATGTTTGAGAAAATGATCAAAGACACAAACCTGAAACCAAACAATGTGACACTTCTTGGACTATTATTTGCGTGTAACCATGCAGGCCTGATACAAGAAGGGTACACGTATTTTAACAAAGCGGTGAATGATTATGATGATCCAAACCTGATACAACCAGAGCACTATGCTTGTATGGTGGATATGCTCTCTCGGTCAGGCCGTTTCAAAGAAGCAGAGGAGCTTATTAAAAGTATGCCTCTTGACCCAGGAATCGGGTTTTGGAAAGCATTGCTTGGAGGATGCCAGATTCACTCAAACAAGCGTTTGGCTAAATTAGCAGCGTCTAAGATCTTGGAGATGGATCCCAGAGATGTTTCATCATACGTTATGCTTTCAAATGCTTACTCTGCTTTGGAAAACTGGCAGGATGTGTCGCTAATACGGAGGAAAATGAAGGAGACGGGTTTAAAGCGTTTTACGGGATGTAGTTGGATTGAAATTAAAGGCCAAGTTCGTGTCTTTGTGAATGCTGACAAGAACAACGAACTTAAGGATGAAGTCTATAGGATGTTGGCATTTATTACTCAACATCTTGAGGAAGATGAATATGGGGAAGACTTCTGATTGCAACTCTTAACATGTATAACAATCTATCTCCTCGAGCGCTTCTTTGCAGATCTCGCAAAAATATTTTGCCATTGCAGCAATCAATCAGTATCAAAACGACACCATCACTTAGTTTGGGTTGGATCTCCATTTTTGCCCGAAATTATAGCTATATATCGAACTTATGTCTATACCGACTTGAAAATTATATCTTTTACACACCAACTAAACAAATATCTTAGTAGCTATGATAGTATTAGTACATAACATAATTAACACCATTTTATATGTTGTGAAATTAAGGATGGGGTTAGTGATGATGATGATGATTGTAATGGTGATGACAATGGTGACAATAATGGTGGTGGTGGCGGCTTTGGAATATAATAACCATGACCGGGACCATATCTGCGACCATGACCTTCCACTTCGATTACTTCTTGATCGTTGTGATTGTATCATCTTTACTCTCCAATTCTCCATCCTATTTAATTAATAATTTTTAAAACAAAAACTAAATACCAAACCACTCATATAAAAAAAATCCGTGAATCAAGAATTTAAAACTGATGAGAAAAAAATATCATAAAACTATTATCATAATATACTTACGAAATTTGTTGGCATTTTCTAAGGAACAAATGTGTACATATATTTTAATTAATTTTGAACTATGATATATTTTTTGAGATAACTAATCAATGTGATATATTTGTCAAGCACTAACCGGTTAATGACAATAACTCTTGTGGAGAAGCAAGAGTACGGTCGATGGAGCAGGAGACGGCCGGAGACCAAGATAACCACTAGAAGCAAGAACATAAGTCTCAAATTTGGCTGATTCTTCTTTTTCATCTCTCTCTATTTCCCTCTCCCTCTTCTCCTATCTCTACCTTTTTCCTAAGGAAAGAAAACCACGTACGTAGCAAAATATGAATTTTTTGAAGACTCATTAATTTAGTCAACGAAGACCAAAGTCCTTATCGCACTTAATCATCACCAACCAAGAACGTTGCAGTTATCATGAAGAATGCTCTCTAACTTCACATCTACTTTGATTTTGTCATATATATAGCTAGCATCTATTGTCTTAAACTCTTCTATCAAAAGTGATTTGACGTCAAGTTTTTGTTTGAATTTTTTAACCATTAAACATGCATTTAGATATGACCTCAGTTTAGTTATCTAAATTTTCAATATTTTGATATTGTTTTACTAAACCAAATTTTCTACAATAAAAGAAGTAATTTGGTCAGGAATCTTAAGATGATTACTTCATTTAGAAGGTGATTTTTCGTACCATGTGAATGCATGATGTGTGTGGAATTGATGTCATGGGACCCTTGTTTTTTTTTGACCAAATGGATCCTTGTTTTCAATTATTAGACCATCCTTATTGGGAGGTCCTTAGCTTAGTTCTTAGCTCATGAGTGATTAAAATTAAAGGTTGAAATGTTGATTTTGCTAAGGAATGGTTCTTAGTTAAGAGCAAAAAATTGGCTTAAGAGCAAAAAATTGGCTTAAGAACCAAAACTAAGGCCTCCCCAATAATGTTGCTCTTAGATTCTTGTAGTTGTGGATTATGTCTCCATATATATAGATAGAAGCTTGCTATACCTATATTAGCCAATGATGCTAAGATAGTTTTGAATTTTTTTGAAAACATACTATTTCCGAAGTTTGGGATTCCAAGAGCGATGATAACTGATGATGGAAGCCACTTCATCAGTAAGGTTGTTGAGAACTTGCTAAAACAAGATAGAATTAAACATAAATTATATTAAAGTAGTAACACCTTATAGTCCCCAAACAAATGGCCAAGTCAAGATAGCTAATGATGTTGTGTGATTTATAACATAAGGTTTTAAAAGTCTTTAGTAATCACACAAACATATTGCAACTTGCAAATGCATAGTATCGACTCCATAAAGATTTGACAATTGCACTACGAATTTTAAAGGAAACGAATTAAGCTAGAACACACTGCAAGCTTTGTTGGTGATTACGAGAAATAAAGATGAACTAATAAAAACTGACGTTAAGCATTCATGGTAATCGCAAATAATATAATATGCAACAATACTATATATGAATTGAATGGAATTTAATTGCAAATGATCTTAAACTCAGGAGACGATTGTATAGTTTTTCCACTTATGAGGTTCCAACCACTATGTTTCAACATCCTAGTAGACTCAACTGTCATAGGTTATTATTATTAAGTGAAAACATGCAATAACCTGTTCATGTTGTGATGAAGTCCACTAAACTCCTAAACTCAACTTTTGCATGTTAAAACGTGTATCTCGTTAAATATTAGTAATGGAAATCTAACAACACTATTATTGGGTATATGTGGATATTGGATCAGGACAATTAAGAATTTATAATATAATGTGGGTTTTAACCTTTCAAGGGCAAAAGAAACGAAATTCAGGAAATAATATGAAATTTGCTTTATTACTTTGGAGAATAAGAAATAACAATAAGACAACAATATTTAGACTAAAGTTTTTTGATCCCCCTACGATATTCTTCTTCTCCTATTTATAGCTAGACTTCATAGAAATCGCGACAATAATGGTTAATTATATTGATTTCCCATTAATTCGCCGCTTGTGATTTTGGTCTTAAGACTTATAATTCCTAATTTGAATCTTTATTAGGCTTGAATGGACAGTCTTTGAAAGATATTTATTCAAGCCCAACTCTTGTTTTTTTTTTTTTTTTTTTAGTTCGCAAGATAAATTTCCGTCTCTACTAAAAATAAAAAAAGTTTCTGTCTCTTCTTCATTACTCTCGGCTCTATTGTAAATTTCAATATTATTATATTTTTTCTTGAACTTTAACCTCCGTGGCTAAGTTCTTGAGTTTTACTTGAGTTGCTTCTACGACAACTACTCAAATTCCTTCATAAATTTGCATTTTGTGTCAAAGTTTTCTGGTATGACGGACTTCTTCCTTCTATAAATTCTCTTGGTGGGCATTTTCATTGACCATCACGTTTTACCATAGTTCTTTTCTTGATCCAAAACTCTACAATATATTTGGGATACTCTTATCCCTAAAGATGCATACCTCCTGCATGGAGGCGCTTGCACTCTCAATGACATCACCTCATACATATGTTCCTC